AAAATACCCATCATCTTCATTAGGTATCCCGGAAAAGCAGCTTGAAACACAGTACAGGAATAACTTTAACAATTCCAAATAATTAGTTGACAAGGCAATTAATTATACAGCAAAATTCATTCTGTTAACCACTCGCAGGGGAATTTTACAGATTACACAATAGGCTCATTTATTTAACTACATCAAGAAGCATTGTTAAATAAACCAAAATAGAAAATTTCAACATAATGTAAATTTGTACATTCATAGTTTCAAGCTCCCAATGAAATGGGAATAATCATAAGTATCCAGTAAAACCAGACCAATGATTTGTTAATCTGTGAGAAACCTCTACTGAGTTTTAGAGTAACAATGAAGTACCTAGGAATAAGTCAAAGCTAAAAAAAACACAGGAAAATAAAAATATCAAATAAAAGGACTGTAGTTTATAGGATTAGCAACATTGTTAAAACCTATAAATTTGCTGCCTAAACTATATTTCCTTCATCAAAACCCTCAAAATAATTTTAAATGAAAATTCTTACATAAGAACCAGAGGAAAAAATGAGAACAGAACCTTTTTAGAATGTGATAACACATGAACTAAACTGGAACTGCAAAATCCAAATCCACATGAACCTAACAATACAACTGCAATTTTATATAATACTTTCTCCATGTCTTAGTTGTGTGTTAAGAAGCATATATAAAATATTTCTATACTTTAATATACAAATTGCTTTTCTCTAATGAAACTGAATGTATTACATTTGTGCAATCCAAAATATTTCTAAGAAATCAATCAAGATACTGAGAATAATGCTTTCATTTTTGTATCAGACGGATAAAATTTTAGCTATTCATGCCCTCAAGAAGAATTAAATATATTTGGTCTAATACTTCTTATCTTATAACTTTTAAAGTATGTATCCCTGTCACTAAGAAGACAACATTCTGTTCCCACAGGAAAGGCTCAGAAGCAAGGGCACAGGCACAGAGTAAGGAGAGCTTCAGAATGCAAAGTGTATGCTCAAGTGTGGACTTTACAACTAATAGTGAAAACAATATTAGAGAGTTCAAAAACTCAAGTTTTTAAACTCATCTCACTAACTAGTTAGCTTTCGCCCTTAGGTAAAATTCAAAACTATCCAAGCTTCAGTTTCCTGACATTAATACCACAAAGTTTACAACAGCTCTGATAAATACAGGCAATGCTTGCAAATTAACTATGTTCATTGAAATCTCATCTGTTTGCTATTTGTTTCTCTATAATGTACAAGCTCAAGAAGTACCTTGAATGAACGCACAGTGATCCTCCTGCCTCAGCCTCCTGAGTGCTGGGATTACAGGTCTGCACCACCGTGCCCTGCAACAGTGATTCTTGCTGCTATGTAGTTCCATCCTGAGTGAGTGCTTATCTGCCCTAGATGTAAGAAACTCTCCCTGCTCTGTATTGTGCAACTCTTTGCTACTTATTTCTTGTAATGACTTGAACCTATATTCTGATCTGTGCCTGTGTCCTTGCTTCTGAGACTTTCCTATCTGAACAGAATATTCTGGATATCAAAATCCCAGTGGTGAAATGTCTGACAATAACTGCTGCTGGCTTGTCTACTGGACTCTGCAAGCCCATTCATCCTGATGCTAACCCTCGCCTGGCATCTCCTAGTGTGCCTTGAAAACTGAGGCAACTCCTTCTCCATCACCGTCTCACACACACTAACTGTCACTCTTGCTATCACCAAACGCTAGTCCTGTCCTTCATCTCCTTGGAATCTCTCAACAACGTCCTTAGCTCTGTTCGTCTGCGCTATGGAAGAAGCTTCTTACCTGACCTCTCTACCCTTGATCATAAGCTCCTGAAGATGATTCACAAAGTTCTTCCCAAGGGACCTGATCTCTGTATCTGCCCACAGCCTCCCACCCTGCCATTCTGTCTTGCCCTACGGTTCGCCACTTTATGCCACGTTACTCTTTGCTGTCATCACACTGCTTCTCTCCCAAGCCAGCCTAGATTTTTTTTCCCCTCTACATCGCTCTCTTTCCCCTTTTCCTGGTTAGCTTCAGCTTTCACCTGAGATATCAGGCTTCCTGGTAGCTGCTGCATGCTTCTATCACAGCTCTTACACTAACTGAAACATTGGAATTACCTGGGTGCGCATGTACTTTCTGAGCAGGATCATGTCTCATTTATTTTTATGCCATAGCATGTAACAGAACACCTAGGACATGGGAGTTACTCCAGAAATTCTGGAAAACTGAATAAAAGTTTGCCTCTACATGCCTTTCCAGAGTTTATGACAAAAACATCCCTAACTCCTGTCCAGGCATTCCATGACAATCATCTCAACCTTCTTCCTTCCTGTAGAGTCTCCTCCTGCCTTTTCATTGGTTATTTCATTTGTAAATCTATTCCAACTCTCAATTGGATTTCAGGTTTTGTTCTGCTACCACTGTCAACAGCAAGTGATAAAATCCCCACCCAATCCTCTAGTTCTGTTAGAATTAAAACTAACAGAAGAAATTCATTTACTAGATTTATGAAAACAATTACCAAATGCCCTCAGAGGTCCTTCCAATCCTGCAGTATGTCAGCATGGGCGAGCTGAATAGCAATTCTACTTTCCATACAGCATTTGTCCTCTGATTTCAGATCTTATCTTCAATACTTATAGAGCTGTCCAGTCATAGTTCATGGGAAGTACAGTACTGTAGGCCATCAATAACCTAAGCCGTCTTTCTAGTAAACAGATTCAATTCCTCCTTAGTCACTTGGTCAGCACAGCATTTGTATTACAACCCTTTTACACTACAAAAGGCACAGTTGTCTCATGGAGCATTAAAACTGCTCTGATCAGAAGTTCAATCCCATTAAATGATAAGGAAAACTGCTCACTGGTTCCCAAATTAAAGAGCTATGATTAAGAGTCATCTCTGACTCTTGTAATTTAACTGAACCACAGCAGTGAAAGCTTTCTGTTCTGAAATGATAAAGAATTTAACTTGAAAGAAAATTCCAAGAACATTGCTCTTGTTGTCAGAACTGCGGCGTTAAGAAAAAGAAAAAAGCTATATTAATGCACAACAGATACACCTGGCCAAGAAATTCTGAGACAGGGAAGTATGCATATTCTAAGTTTCTTATGCAGGTGGCTAAAACATAAATTTCATTTATTCCTACCAAATGGTTAGGAACATACAGGATCACTGTATTTAAAGCAGAAGAGGAAAATTTTCAAAGTAAGTTAAATTCTACTGCTCAATCACAATCATTTTATTTTCCTCTTAAGAATGCTTCTCTCTCTCTCTCTCTCCCTCTCTCCTCTGTCTCTCTGTCTTTCTGTTTCTCTGTCTCTATGTGTCTCTCTCTCTTCCTCTCTCTCAAAGAGCCTTGTCTATTGTAAAGCTGGCCTCAGAGGTGACTCTTTGCACTGGCTCCCATCTGTACCTTAATCTATAATCTTGGTGCACAACCTGTCCTTACTCAGATAACCTCATCTTCTTGCCACTGTTCTACCCATTATTAGCCAATCAGAGAATTTCCACCCATTTTTTTTCTTTTTAGTGGTAGCAAAGTTTTATTAAAGGTAGAAAAAGAAATAAGTTCTGCAGAGTGAGTTTGGCCCAAGTAAAAGTAGGAAAAGAAATACACCCTACAGCCTGAGGGTGGGCCATCTATGCAAGAGAGAACACAATGGCCTTCTACCCCTTTTTTGTAAGGCCAAATTTATGTATCGCTTTTGTTTCACAGTTGCTAGTTCTCCACAACATGTTTGTGTATTATACTGGTATTGCCATCTTCTCAACACAGATACCGGAGTTGGTTCCTCCTTCTATCAGTGTGCACAAAAATGCAACACACTACAGAGATCTTTTTTTTAAATGTGTTTACATTTCAGTTTTCTCCATTAGGCTTTACACTGAGAGCAAAGTGCATGGCTTGTAAATCCTCATATCCATAGGCCGTGTCACAAAGTAGAACACAATCAACTAATCTTGGCTAAATAAAGACTATAGATGACAATATGTATAGTGGTGAGACATTAATTGTGAATGACACACGGCATGTCATCTGATTTTCCAGTACTTGGCCCTAGACAAGCTACTTTCCTTCTGAGACCTGGGATATTTTACTTTTTAAGTATGAATAATAGACAAAACAAAAAGATTCTTTCTTATTATAAATTGGTTGGGTTTACAGTACAAGTGTTTCCTACAGAATTTAAATGTGATAAAAGGTTTTTCAATAATAGCATCTTAAACTGAAGAAAAATAGTTTGAAAAGGAATGAACTACATAAGACTTAATACTTAAATAAATCCCTACAACTAAACTGATCATAATATTCTACACACTTTAATTAATGAATTGTCAAGTTGATCTGAAATATTAAAATAGCTGATTATTCTAGAATATAATAGAATCATTTTAATAAAATTAGAAAACTATTCAATTTTATTTCTCTTGCTTACTTTCCATTTAATTTATATAGAGCCAAAGAACTACAAAGCAAGGAAATTATCTTTAGATAATTTTACCCATCTCATTTTGTACACATCAAAAGAGCTAAAAGGATGTGTTGTGCACTTTGGCCATAGATGTGGAGCTGACATCCTGGCAGGCTTGTTTGCTCTTACCCAGAAGAACCAAAAAATATTAAGTATATACATGTAAGGTGAAGATTAGTTCTAGCTGCCTTGACCTTTATATACTGCCAGAGAAATTCCCCAGCCCAAGAAGACAGAAGAATATGCCTCTGTAGCATCTGATTCTTAATATTCCAATAGTTTAATCTTCCTTTATTCTTTCATTCAAGACTTATATACGTAAGCTAATTTTTAAATGCTAAATTTTAAAAAATGGATATTTTTTAAATATGCTATAGTGCTATTTTTTTCACTTGCAATGCAATATTATAGCTTCATATACTCAGTAATAAGACAAAACATATGAATAAACCAATAGGATGGCTTAGAGATCACAAATATTATGATACCTTTAGGATTAGAAGGGATATTTACCTTACTTTCTGCTAACCAGCGATGTGGGTCATAATGTATATCAGGACCAGAGGATAAAACCTACAAAAAAAAGAAAAAAGATTATTATAAACAGATTTTTCTATGGTATGAACTTACATGAATGGAAATTTTGGGTGACGTATCCAAAAATTTAGTCCCTGAACCTAAGGATTTAAAAGAATAAAATTTGTTCCAAGTATTAAACCAATTCCAAACCATTTGTTAAGTGTCTATTTATATGTTGATTTATTTACCTTTTATTGGGTATAGCCTTGATTAAAGCCAATTTACTTCATTTTTCTTTGTTTCTTTTCCTAAGTCTTGTTCTTTTCTTTGTTTCTTTTCCTAAGTCTTGTTCTACATAATGCATTTAACTGAGGTTTAAATGTGATTACATGGCAACAATTTTTTTCTTATTTAATCTTCTTTAATTTAATACTATGAGGGCCATTTTGTCTTATCAATGACTGTTAAAACAGGTAAAAATTCATTAATATGACTCACACAAATATTGGCTCATATTTCAAGATAATAACAAAATTATGCAATAAGTTGTTATCTGTATTCATTGTCTTTACACCAATTCCTTGCCATTTAGCTTTGCCTTTTTAGGGACAAAAAATTATTCTCAAAGGTTGGCGATAACTTTATAATTCTATATAAAGTTTTTATCTCACTCTTGCTTTCTTTTAACCCTACACTACATATACTATTGTTTTTCTAGATGTTTTCTGTTTAAAAATATTCAATCCATCTGCAAAGAGATGTCTATTCCTCATCTCAAATACATCTATACCCTCTTATGTATGTACACATTAGAACCCTATCAGGACTACCTTCAGATAATTCACTTAGAAATATCATAAACGTATCTATCACATGCCATATACAACAATGTACACATTCAGTGCCATACACACCCAAACTTTCTTTTATCTACTTTTCTATCTAAATCTCATAGTAATCTCTTTGTTCTAAGTGAAATTCTTTCTAATCACCTTAGCATTCAGTGTTTTCTTCCTCTCTCAACTCTATCACATTGTTGAATATATGTTAACATTCATTTGTCATTGATTACAATAACTTTTATTTTTCATTCACCTACGGCATATATCTCAATTAAAGCTTTCACATTGGGGTAGGCAGAAAGTTACATTGGGGTAGGCAGAGATTTACATTAGGGTAGGCAGAGAGTTCATGAACAAAAACCAAAATGCATGGGAAATACATCAAAGAATCAACAGCTGGGATTTCATTTTATTGAAAAGTTTTTGCACATCTAAAGAAATCACCAATATAGTAAAAAGAAAACCCACAAATTGGGAAAAAATTTTAGCCAGCTGCTCTTCAGACAGAGGACTTCTATCTAGGACATATAAAGAATTAAAAATAATCAAGCCCCCCAAATTCAAAGACCCAATCCAAAAATGGGCATCTGAGATGAATACATACTTCTCTAATGAAGAGATACTAATGGCGAATAAATACATGAAAAAATGTTCAACGTCAGTAGTCATTTGAGAAATGCAAATTAAAACAACACTGAGATTCCATCTCACCCCAGAAAGAATGGCTGTCATCAAGAAATCAACCAATGACAAATGCTGGAGAAGCTGTGGGAGAAAGGAACCCTACTCCACTGCTGGTGGGAGTGTAGTTTGGTGAAACCACTGCAGAAATCAGTGTGGAGATTCCTCACAAAACTAGGATTGGAAGTCCCAATTACAGACATCATACCACAGCAATATATGTGCACCCATGTTTATAGCAGCACAATTTGTTATAGCTAAACCTTGGAAACAACCCAGATGCCATCCACTGAGGAATGGATTAAAAAGTTGTGGTATTTTTACACAACGGAGTATTACTCAGCTATTAAAAAAGATAAACTCGAGGCTTTTCTAGGTAAATGGATGCAACTAGAGACCATACTCACAAGTGAAACAAATCAGACCCACATGTGTAAACATCATTGTCTCCTTGATATAGGAACCTGAAAGACTAGGTAAAACTCAAAACGTACAATAGATGATAGGAAAGTGAAAGAAACTGCTCAAAGGAAGGAACGACTGGGATGAGGGTAAGAAGAGAAAAGAAAGAAGGCAAAACATATATATGAATAGCTGCGATGACTGTATCGCTGCCATCTGATGGTGTATTGAAATGAACAGTTAATGCTCACAATTTCTTATGTTCTGATCCACTTTGCATGCTTGTGTCTGGTGGTCTGAGCAACTGATTTGAAGGTAACAATATGCAATGGAATTACAATGGTGAACTCCTACCATCTTGTCTAGTGAAACTCTGTATTATCTCTAAGGTTTTATTGAAGAATTATTTTCTTATTCTCTTTAATGATTTGAGCAATCTTTCATTCTTACATCTGGTAATCTGAGCATTGTAGTTAAGGATAGCGATATGCAATGTAACAACCACTGTTGATTTATATTAATTTGTCTTGAGACCCTGTATCACTTTGAATGTTTTTGCTTTGATTTGTTTATGTTTGTGATACTGGTATGCTGCTACTGTTCCACTTATTTTGTTTGTTAGTTTCTCACGTACTACTCTCTTTAAAATAAAATTTAAAAAATAAAAAAATAAAATAAATAAAGCTTTCTTTACCTCATACTCATGACTGAAGTAAAAAAAAGTTTGATATAAACAAGCAGCATTTTTACTTTATGATTTGCTTCACAGATTTATGTATGATTTTCATGTTTAAGGAAACACCTTTGACCACTTCCAGTGGTGTGGCTTAATTTTGCTACACTGCAGCCTATTATCTACAAAGTACACATCAACCTCATAAGGCCAAGTATAGATCAAATAAAAGAAGCATCAGCACAGTTTCTGGCACACAGAACACACTATCACAGCATATCAAGATATCATCATCAATAAACAAACTTGAAGTATAACAAATATTTGTCTTCAGAAAAAGATAAAGAGTAGCCAAATGTACGTATGAACATATTACCAAAAAATTACCAAATAATGACAGCTAACATCAGTCTGCTAGCTACCAAGAGTAAGATATTTCACATTACAATGTACCACTTCTATATGTCACTTTACTTTATCCTCATAATGAGCCAACTTGTAATGCAAGACATGGGTCCTGTGAGAGGATGGAGATCGCACAACTTGTCCGAGGTCAGATGTTAGAAATCTGGAGATAGGCACTTTAAACCTACATCTGTCTTGATCCAAAACCCATCCTTTTTATAATCTATACAACATGAATATTCAGTTCAGCTTAGGGGAAAAGACAAATACAAATGAAGTTATGATGCAGAGCTAATCCATCCAGTTGAGCTCTTGTATTTGCTGAGACTGCCATATAAGAGTGAAATACTTTAAATTTGGACAGTTTCTGAAGTTTTTTATAATGACAGTGATGTAACTGAATGTCTGTCTCTAAGTTTTCCCTTCTAAAGTGTAATAAGTTTTCCCTTCTAAGTGTAATAAGTTTTCCCTTCTAAAGTGTAATAAGGAGCATATATGTGTTAGCCAGTGAAACAAAACTTTTAACTAGAGATAATATCAATATTCTCCAGAATGTTTAATATGTTACTGAATACATTCCACATCACAGTCCCATATAAAACTCTCCAATAGAACTACACCGTAAAGAATCAAACTATTTAACAAATCCATTGATGGCTTTCTTGCAGTAACAATAAATGCTAAATTCTTAGGTATTCAATTTTTTTCAAGTGTGTAAGAACAAAAAAGAGCTAGTAGAAAGAGACCTACAATGAAAATATACATTCTTCTACACTTTCTACCCATGATTTGAATTGAGCTAGTCTTTCTCTCAATAAAGAAGTACAAAAACTACCACCATCATTCCATGCCTGAAAACTTATGAATGAATAGGGTGATTTTTGGATTACGTTAAGACAATTTGTGCCTTATAAAGATATATTTAATCAGTCTCCTGTCTATTCAGCATGTTTTTGCTTGCAACTGTCCATAGGAAAGTTTAAATATCTTATAACATGATTCAAATGTTTCTATTTTTACATTCCTATATGATTAAAAATTATCTGGACACAAATATTTAAATATAGGTTAAGCACTGCATTAATGTGCACTTCGTTTAGTTGAAATTAAGATTTCTACAATCAGGGGCTGGGGATTTAGCTCAGCGGCACAGTGCCTGCCTGGTAATTGCAAGGTCATGAGTTCGATTCCCGGTACCGGAAAAAAACAAACAAAAAAAGATTTCTACGACCATAGATACTTTAAATATATGTAAATAAGACAAGTCTGAAATGTGAAAAGCAGCAGTAGATATGGAAAAGAATAAGCTAGCATCACAAGTGGCCTATATTATCCCCAAAAGAGTCAGTTTTTGTCCTAAAAACCGTAACTGCTCATATGAGGCTCATGGAAATGACATCTGAACATGATTTAAAAGGTGTTATAAATACAAATTATAAAAATTCTATGAATTCTACCAAATTCTACTAACTGAAGTATTTCTATTAAAGGTGAATTCTAAGAAACTTTCAATTCTATGAGTAGAATTAGAGCTTCATTTTCTTTTAAATAACACTTAAAAGAGAGAAGGGGGAGGTATATAGGGAAGAAGGGAGAAGAAAAAACAGAAACTTAGGAAGATTATTCTAGAGGCATACAAAGGAATGAAAAACTAAAAAGAAACACCTGAAAAGCAAAAAGCATCTAATTATAATACCATAATTTAAGTGCTATCACATCATAAAATGAAATAACTATAATGGTAAAGGATGTTGAGTTATAATGCATATGGGTACACCAAATACAAGCAGTGCAATGCTCTCTGAACACAACTTAGCAGTACCAGAATCTACAACTGATAGAGGTGCTTGCTTCCCTTCAAGGAACTCAAAACATCCACGATCACTTCTGCTTTTATTTATCTTTTCACTATGACAATAAACTGAGCAGCAATATTCCATTTTAAATACAGAAGAATATTAAAAATAAGATGCTTAAATAGGGAAGGCAGACAACATAGTAGTTACCTGTTTAGGTTCCAGAATTAGACCTAAAGTTCCAAGTCCTCATTTAGCATTTAACCCAGTGTATGGGTAGGACACGGTATTAACCTCTTCAGGTCTAGTTTTTTCTTCCCTAAAGTAGATCTAATTAAGTACTTCAGGGATATAGTAGTTTTAGAGGTTAAGTGAGACAACGTATGCACCATACTTACCATTGATGTAGTAAGTTATATATTGACAACAATAAGAACAGCCTATCATAATAAAATGTTCAAACCCTTAGGAGTCTCTGGGGCTCCAAGAATATTTTCCTTAATCAGAACTACTGCCTCTCTCGTTAAAAATTTTCTTTTACAGAAAGAGACACAGACAATTCAATGAAATAACATCACACTTTCTCTTACTATGAGTGTACCATAGATCCTGTGCTTCATTCTTTAAAAAGGCAAAAAATTATTCTATTTCACAAAGCTTTCTCAATAAAACTGTGGCTATGTAATCATCTATTACAATTTCATTTTATAATTATATATTAGGAAAGTAACTGAAAATGTAAGGCACAATGAGAACACATAATTACTTTCAACTTCTCTATTGAATCCCTGGAGAAAGTTTTACAAGCTGCATCAATTTCCTTCCCTATCACTCCAAGAATGGATTCTTGTTCAGTCTCCAGACAGAGAAGTTGATCCTTAAGCTGCAGTCTCGCTTCTTCCATCCTCCTTAAGTGCTCTTCTTCATTGCTTATATGTTTTTCCTAAGACATTGATCAGAAAAGAAAATAATAATTACTAACTGGAACCAAGAAATACATACAATATCTATAAAAACACAGAAATACATTACAAAGCAGATCTGACATTGTCAAATGTAAAATAAAACACTCTACCTATTTTTAATGGAGGTAAAGTTACAGAGTTCAGAAAAAGAATCATTTGGAAACAGGTGAGCAGATACTTAATGAACAATATTACTGTAATCAAAAGACAAAAGGTCAAAAAATTATTCAACCATTTTAACAACATACTGCCTTTAACAGAGAAAAAAACTTAAAGCTGAACAAATTGACTTTGAGTTTGTCCTAAACATTAGTAAAATACAAGAAAATGTAATGTGCTAAGAAAGATGCTGCTAGATTCTTCATTTGAAAAAAAAAAAAACCACATGTGTTACCACCTTTATTTCATAAAAAAAATTTTAAATCTAACTTTTCAAATGCAGTCATATTACATAAATGCTTTTAAGATATGAAAATCTTTTTTAAGGAGTCTTCTATAAGATTATAGAGACTTGGAGGCTTATTATAGACTAAAACAATTCTCAATCACTGTGATTACACAATTTCATTAAAAATTGACCATTCTTAATTTGAAGCAACAAAATTTAAAATGCCCACAAATCCAAAATTTTTTGCACACCAATATGATACTGAACAGTTGCAGAATTTGCAGCATTTTAGATTTTGGAAAAGTGATTTCATAACTGGCATTGTCCATGCAAATATTCCAAAATCCAAAAAGAATTGAAATCTAAAATACTTTTGGTCCCAAAAATTTCAGATAAGGGACAGTCAACCAATTCTAGAGAAATTCAAACCAGTACTACACAGGACTTATAATAACAGAACCACTAGAATTGTATAAATAAGCAGTAAAGCAAACTGATTACCGTGTACTAATGTCTCCAGTCATACTATCCTAATCATCTTTAACTACTCTGTTAAATGCAACAAGACCAGGAAAATTATGTGGGCAAACTCAGACTGAATGCAAAAGATGTAACAAGGAGATTCACTCATTAAAACTAATCATGAGAGGCAGAATAATGTTTACCAAATAAAACACAAATGATATTTTTCAACTGAACTCATATTAAAAATGAATAAAACTTCCTCTTCCCAAAAAGCAGACACTTTCACAATTTATCTTCAACACTTATCTCTAGCCTCATCTTCCTTCATCCTAAACTATCCGGTACTTTCACTATCTACTTTCTCAAATATCTGTACATATGTATCTTCTGACCACAGCTGACTTATATAATTCTACTTGAAATTATATTACTTCAAATGGTGCTGGCAGCCAAGAGACAGCATTTATCTTGATGAGTTCACCTTATTCTGTCATACAGGTCTGGATCTCAGCTTTGCAAATTTAGGAAGTGGAATTTCTTTTACTTTTGATGCTCTGAGCAGAGTCATCTTGTAGTAATAGAATAATATTAAGCTCACAAGAGACTCATGTTCAAACCTGAATGCCATTAAATTAACCACATTAGTTTACAGTAAGAACCATATAACTACCACATGGATTAGAATGCGAGGGTCAGCATAACTAGTACATCATTTCCCTGTAGACTAAACTAGATGAGAAGGAAAATTATCACCAGAATGTTGTTTAATGAACAGGAAATCAGAGCAAAAAGATTTCATTTTGGAAAGTAATGTTTAAATGGCATCAAGCTAATGGCAGCCCGGCAGGTCCATCCATACATTAGGGATTTATAAACCACAACAGCAGGAGGGTTCTATTCCTCTGTGCAGTGCTGGGATAGAGAATGCTGAGGACTATCTCCTTTATCCTTTGTCAATATTTGGTGTCTGTCCAAATTCTCGTCCCGCTTAATACACCACTTCTTTAGATCTATTGCTATTTTTACCAAGACACCCTCACATAGGAGCCTTTCTAAAAAATTAACACCTTGGTTCTGAATAACATTTGGTAATTTTATAGCTTATGTATTAGAAAGCAATCTTATTGCCAACTCCCTAGGTAAGGATACCTCTCTCCCTACTAGTTCTATATTCATGGTTCAAAACCCACTCTCCTTTCTTTTCAACACTGCCAAAGAAAGTTGTAACCAAGACCTTATTTATATCATAGCATTAAAAAATTATCAAGCTGTAATAAAATTGTGCTTTCTCACTCAACAAACTACTAGCTTCAGAAGTGCATGTGCACATTTATAATTGTCTTTAAATTACCCCACTTTTTATTGTGTATGTTTTAAACACTTTCTGAAGACTCAAATTCAACACTGTAAAGGCAACTTCACTAATTGTCCCACAGATCTGTAGCCTCAGAGATTACTAGATTTCACTTCTACACATCTATAAGGTCCCCTCATGACTGTAATAGTCTCATTAATGCAATGTTAATAAAGAAAAAGCTGTATCAGAGATTACTAATGTATTAGAAGATTGTCTGAATTCTCAATCCAAGCAATTCACAATGATGTTCTAGTGGACCTTTTTATTTTTTATTCCCTCACAGTACATCTCATTTATCTATCACCAGTTTTTCTGGGATCTCCATTACTTGACTTTTTAAGAAGAAAAACATTGTTGCCATCTTTTAATATTCCTAAAAACTGTTGATATCATCAGCTTTTAAAGTTTTATCTTTTTAGCAAAGGCAGAAAATGTGATTACCACATCATTATCCTTTGTGAGTCAGCCCACTACATCCAACACCCCTTTGAAGTAAAACTCACAGAACCATGGGTGCACAGGAACCTTAGAGATCAGGACCTGCTCCTTCAGGAGCTCCTCCTTTGACATGTTAGGTAAATGGTCATCCACCTCTTTGGAAACATGTCAAGTTTTAAGGAACAGACTACCTGACAAAGCCACAAAACCCACTCAATAGAGCAAGTACTATACTTTAAAGTGCACACATGGATCTCCATTCCCACTAAATCTCTAACCTTAAAAAACTCCTGTTCTTTCCCACTTTTTTTTTTTCAAGTTGACTAGGTTTCTGACATTACACCATATTGGTCTTGATCCTCTACTTCTGCTCCAAGGCCTTCAATAAAGACTTAGGGAAATTTCTGCTCCATAGGTAAGCATTGCTAGGTTTTAAACGTGTGACCCCACAAGAGTTCATGTGTTGGAGGCCGGATCTCCAGTGAGTGTGGCAACGTAAAAGGCAGTGATAGCTTTACAAGGCAGATCCTACTTGGAGTTATTAGAGTGTTGCTCTTGGGAATTAATTTTGTTCTCTTGGAACTCTGGTTAGTTCCTATAAGAGCACTGAAATCTCACTTCACATTGGTCATATCATAGCTACCTTTTTCACAGCTATTGCTTTAAAACAGATTTTACATGACTGTCAATTTCTTAAACTGAAATTATAGCTATGTGTTAAATGATTAGATTGGTATAAAAATAAGTAAAGTAATAAGAACTCTAAATTCAAAATTCATATGAGACTGAAAAAATATCTCCCTGGGTTTAATCTTTGTATAGTCTTTTTTCTCTTTGAGATCATTTAGTTAATGAATTTCCCTGTTTTATTTCAGGTTTTTATTACTCAGTAATAAGGAGACAGGGAAAGTCATTAACTAAATGAATTCTTAATTCATGATAAAAGTGTAAGAGCATACACATTTCCTCACACACATGGATATTATACTAACAATAGATAACCTGAACTCTTAGGAATACTAGGTGCCGCTTCTCTATGCTTCCATAGTACTATATAGGTGTCTATGTTATACCACATGCTACTATGTGTGTCTTCTGTCTTCTCACCAGCTGAGTTCCTCTAAGGCCACAATCTTATTCTTCTTCATTTAAATATACCAGTACTTACTACTGTGTTTCACACAGCATCCAAACAATTAAGTTTCTGAAACACAACTATCATTTATGTTCTATTCATTCACAAGCACCTTTTTCAAATGTAGTCTCTTACATATGAAGGGTACTAGATCTCAAGTACATAAAACAATGAAAAAAGTCAGAATTTCTGAACTCAACTTGTCATGTTTCTGCAAGTTTCTTTGGTTTATTTTGCCACAAATTCATTACTAAACCTACTGAAGGTAATCATCTTGTCAGTAGCAGGCTATCACAAGTATCACAGGTATCTTCCCAGAAGAGTTAAATACATCATACCACATCAATATATGTGCACTCATGTTTATAGCAGCACAATTTCTAATAGCTACATCTTGGAAACAAGCCAAATGCCCATCAACCAAGGAATGGATAAAAAAGATGTGATCACTTCAAACAATGGAGTACTGGGTCAACCATCAAGGACAAACTTGAGATTTTTATAGGTAAATAAGGATACAACTTGAGACCATATTCATAAGTGAAATAAATCAGACATGTGTACATATCATATCGTCCCCCCAGTGTGAGAAGCTGAAACACTAAATAAGACGCAAAATGTATAAAAAATATTGTGAAATGAGGAGAAATTGTTCAAAAGGAAAGAGAAACTAGGATGGTAGAAAGGAAAAAAGGAAGTGAAAAAGAAAAAAATATATATACATA